TGCCTCCGGCGGGGGGAGACTTGGCCGGTTCTCTCTCTCTCTCATCCTGGAGGTACAGAGGCTCATCAGAGCAGGGCGCCCAGCCCTGCCATCGCACCTCTGGGGACAAGAGCCGGGCAGAACCCAAAGGAAGCCGGAACCGTTGGACTGGCCCCAGGGTGTTTACACGGATGCTGTTCCTGAGAGCAACCAGCTGCCCGTGCCTCCGCCTCCCCCGCCTGCCAGACAGCAGCACCCACCCAATTGCCCACCAAAGGGCCAGGAGCTCACGCAGCTGGCACAGATGCCCCCCCACAGGGGCCAGCAGGTGCACACACCCTCCCAATGCCTGGGAAAGCGGCACGTTGGCTGGCAGAGGTTGGTGACATTTAAAAGTTTCTTGAAGATTTCTTTAAGCTTCCCAAGTTGACGGCCAAGATTTCACCCAGAAAGGTTCTTACTGGTTACTTCTCCCACACCTAAGCCTGCAAACCCCCCCTCCCCCAGCCCCCAGGGCCCCGCAGCGAGGCTCTCCCGGGAGGAGGGGCACCCTGGTCTGCGGGCAGGATGCTGACCGGTGACGTCGGTGAAAAGGGGCCTGGGAATGAGCCGGGCAGACTCCCTCAGCGCAGACCGCACCTAAGTCCGGGGAGGAGGGGCCTCGTCAGGTGCCATGGTGAGTAGGACGGACGCAGCCTGAGCTGGGTCCTTGTTCCATCCCTTGTTTGGGAACCCAGCGCCCCAAACAGGCCTCCTTCTCCAGCAGGAAGACTCACCAGGTCACGGCTGTGTCCTGCTGCCTCTTGGGGCCGGGCCGGACCGGGCTGGGTGTGGGCTTCTGAGCCATATCTGAATCTGAAGAGAGCAAGAGAGTGGGCAGAGCGTGAGAGGAGGGAGGGAGGGCGGGAGGGAAGGACGGGGTACAGGAGGAAGGGCCAAGAGCAGGTGGGCTCCCTGCCTTCGGGGCTGGCCCTTCCCTGCCCCTGCGCCCTGAGGTGGGCAGTGCCCCGCATGGCCTCCTATGGACCTGGGTCCTCCCACCCAGGCCTGGGCTCAGGCTCCAGAGGGACCGCCTTCATCCTTAGAGAACCATAGCGTTGAGATGAAACCACACTCTTGGGCCTCAACCCCATCTCCCAGGCCCTGGGGTTTGGGGGTGGTGCTGTCAGAAGGCAGGAGCGGGGACGGGGAATGTCTGTGATCCTCGTGTCCTCTGAGCAGACACTCAGCCTTGGTCGGGGTTAATCCTTTGGTGTTCTCCCCCTGCCTGCCTGCCCGCCTGCCTGCCCCATTGCCATGTCCACACCCCCACAGCTGCCTCTGGGCCAAACCCCTGGGCCGGCTGTGTCTGAAATGGCCTGAATGCTCCGAGTGAGAGCCAAGGGAGCAGCCAGTCTGGGCCCAAGAGCGAACACCCCACTGCCCTCTCTTAGTGGGAAGTCGAGAGTCAGCTGAACCCAATTCAGGGGATGGGGGGCTGAGAAGTCAAGCAATGGAGCCATCTGTGCACCAGGCATGGGAAGGTTGTCTCATTTCTGGGCTCCTCCCGCATTTACTACCCTAGAGATGGAGGATGATGGAGGGGAACCCTGCTTCCTGCTGGGTCGTCGTCGTCGTGTCCCCCACCCCCACCCCCCCCCCGGCCCATGGCCCATCCAGGGCCTGGCACTAGGAGGCAGGTGCTCAGGGGATGTCTGCTGAATGTGTGAATGGCATTCCATTCATTGAGTTCTGGGCTTTGTTTGTGACTTTGAGGCCCCTCCTGGAACCCACCCCTTTCTGCCTGAATCTGTGGCCCTCACCCAGGGCTCCCTGTGGCTGGCAAGACAGTCATGAATGGGAGCCTTCTCCTTGTCCTGTTCTCAAGATCTCTGCCACACGGTCACCAGGAGCATCCGCTTGCTGTGGTGCGGAGACTGGCAACGATGCCTGAATCAATTGTGATAAAAATAATATTAGCTAATAGGTGATTATAAGAAGCATGAGAATAGGTAAGACTTACTGAGCATTTACTATCCACCAGGCACAAGTTTTAAGCATTGTTCTTACTTAAAATGTACTTAGTTAACAAATGACATGTTGATGGCTAACATTCATCAGTGTTGTCTCGCCAGGAACACTTTAATATACTAACTCACTCTCTTACCCTCATTTTACAGAAGAACATGAGGCAGAGAGATGTTTTAGGGTGACCAACTGCTTTGGTTTCCCAACATGTGGGACTTTTGACTGCTCAGACTGGGACAGTTCAAGGCAAATTGGGACAACTGGTCCTTCTCGGTGTTAAGTAACTGGCCAACGTCAGACAGTTAGCAAGTGGCAGAGCGTGGCCTCAAGTTGGGGTGGTTTGACGTTAGCCTCCAGCTCTTTGCCTCTCTCTCTCTGGTTCTGGAGCCAGAGCCCGTGTTTGAAGTATTAATAGTTGAGGTCTTCGTAAAGCCCAGATAGCCCTCCTCGCCGTCAGAGTTTCCCCAGGACAAAGCTAGATTTGGGGCAGCTGAGAATTTGCTTTTCTCACGTGTTCCCAGATGACGCCGATGCTACTGGTGTGTGGACGGACATGGAGAACCAGGACATTGTGCTCTCCTGCCCAAGGCTGCCATGGACTGCTCAGGTAGGACCAGCTGACGGCCACCTCCACCCACAAACCCTGAGATGGCCCCCAAGGCGAGTCCTTCGCTGTGGCATTGAGGGACCAGGCCTTGGGGCTTCCAAGGGCACTGGACGGCCACTGTCAGAGCCCGAGCAGAGGTGGGGTTGCCACGAGGTGGCGCCAGTGTCGCGGCTGCTGGAGTACACTCCTCATTCCTGCGCCTGCAGCAGTGACTGGAGTCCCCAGACGGACTCTGTAGCAGAATCTGGGCCACTGTTTCTGGCCACAGAGACGCCTAGCCTGGCTCTCTGACTCTCCCTGGGATCCTGGGACCAATTATGATCCCTCCCTTTAAAAAAAAATTATTGATTTTTTACGGAGAGAAAAGGAGAGAGATAAGAGAGTTAGAAACATCGATGAGAGAGAAACATCGATCAGCTGCCTCCTGCACACCCTGTACTTGTAACCAAGGTACATGCCCTTGACCGGAATCGAACTTGGGACCTTTCAATACGCAGGATGACGCTCTATCCACTGAGCCCAACCGGTTTCGGCTCATTATCCCTTTTGTTTTTAAATTGAGGTGAAATTTCTGTAACATGAAATTAATCAATATGGTGGCATTTAGTACATTCACAATGCTGAGATTTACCTAGATTCTACATTTACCTAAGTTCCACAGCATTTTCATCATTCTCAAGTAAAATCTGTACCCATTAAGCAGCTAATCCCATTCTCCGGCTGCTTTATTTCAATGGCTTTTCCTGTTCTGATTAGGCCTGCCTGTGTCCTTACAGCACTGCAGGGCGAGGAGGGAGGAGACAGGGCCACAAGCGCCCCCATTATCCCATGTAAACGGGATAACGCAAGATGTGGCCTGTTGTGATTAGCTTCTTTCACTTAAAATGCGTGTTTAAGGTTCATCCACCCGGGGTACTTAATGCCGTTTCATGGCTGGATGGTATTTTTCACTATATGTATATGCATACACGCCACAGTTTTCTTTAACTATGTTGTTATTCATTTTTAGAAAGAGAAGAAGGGAGTGGGATAGAGAGAGATAGAAACATCGATGAGAAAGAATAATTGATCGGCTGCCTCTCGCACGTCCCCCACTACAACCCGGGTATGTGCCCTGACTGGAACCAGGGGCCTCTGAGCCACATCCGCGGGGCCACAATTTTCTTACGTATTCATCCATGGGTGGACGTTTGGGACATTTCTACCTTTTGGCTGTTGTGAACGATGCTGCTATGACCTTTGTGTGTAGGGATTTTCTTGTTTTCAGTCCTCCTGTGTACATGCCTATGAGTGGAGTTGCTGTGTCACGGTCGTTGCGTGTAACTTTTGAGGAATGGCTGCGCTATTTTTCACAGCGGCTGCACCATGGGACCCTCCCGCCAGCAGTGCGTGAGGGTCCCAGGTGGTCCACGTCTTCCCTGACCCTGTGATGGTCTGTTTCTTTGGAAACATCCACCCTTATGGGGATGAAGTGGAGTCTCCCTGTGGTTTGGTCTGGATTGTTTCATGGCTAATGGTATTGAACATCTTTGCCTATCATTTTGGAGAACTGCCTATGCAAGTCCTGTGCCCATGTCTACACCACTGTCCTTGGGATAAATTCGTTTTTCTGCCACGATTAGCCAGAGCTCGCTCTTTCTTTCTTTCTTTCTTTTTTTCTTTCTTTCTTTCTTTCATATATTTTATTGATGTTTTTACAGAGAGGAAGGGAGAGGGATAGAGAGCCAGATATATTGATCAGCCACCTCCTGACCCCCCCACACTGGGGATGTGCCCGCAACCAAGGTACATGCCCTTGACCGGAATCGAACCTGGGACCCCTCAGTCCGCAGGCCAATGCTCCATCCACTGAGCCAAACCGGCCAGGGCTAGAGCTGTTTCTATTGGCTGCAACTATTGTAAGAACTGTGACGGATACACTCCTCCCCACCCATGGTCCCGGGTCACACTTCTACCTCCAACTAGCAAAGCAACTGGACGTGGGCACACGGCCATGTGCCAGGGGGCCGTGGCACATCCTGGACCCGGACAATAGTGCCTGCTCGGGTCTTTGCACCACTGCAGGGAGAGGAGGGGGCCAGGGCCACAAGAGACCCCAGAGTAGACAATCACAAAGAAAAATAACCACGTGGCGCTGCAAAGAGAATAAAGGGAGAGGGCGTGATGGGCACACAAAGCCACAGAGGCCGTGATGAGAGGAGCTGGAACAGGGCATTAGGGACACGCAGGAGCCTCCTAAATCGATGCGTCACTCGGGGACGAGGAGCCTGAGAACACCCCTGGGGTGAGCAGGGGAGGGGCTAGGCTGGGCAGGAGGCAGCGGCAGGGGAGCCCGGGCCTCTCTGGCCTCCCAGGGCCCTCCTGGCTCGTCTGAATCCCCTTCCAAAGGAGCATTCACAGGCGTGGCTGTTTCATAACTTAGTTTAATCTCTGGTGAGGTGCATTCCGGGCAGCGAGGAACCTCCGCCTGCCCCATAGGGTCCAGCCCAGATGGAGAAGCGTGGGCTCGTCGGACCCCTCTCTGGGGCTCTGGTTTCAGCACCTGAGTAAGGCCCATCTCCCCAATCAACAGCAGGCTGGGGGCCTCCCTCCCCTCTCCCTATGCCAGGCTTCCTGTTGGCCCTGCCCCACTTCCTGCAAGGTCTGAGACCTCTTTGGGTATTGGGATTGAGGTCCTGGCCTGGCCGGGTTCCAGGCAGGCAGGCAGGCAGGCAGGCAGGTGGGCGGGGCTGGTGCACCTCCAGGCAGTGGCAGGGGAGAGGCCTGGCGAACATCTCAGGGCCCTGGGTCCCACCGGGAAATGTGCTCCTGAGCTGGGAAGGAAGCAGAACAGAGCGAGGGTCCCCGGCCGCCCCGGGCACCCTGGTTTGGGGACCCGCTGCACCTGGTCCAGAAGCACCCAGGGCCGGGGTCCCCCTGGGTAGCTCAGGACCCTTCCAGAAGGTGCTGCTGGGAGCCGGTTCTGAGCTCGGCTTCACCTCGGCCCCCCACCACTGGGCTCTTGAGAATCAGGTAACATTGGGGGACCCCACAGGTCTCCCAGTAGCAGCTTTTGTGACAGGAGGACGGGACCTTGGAGAACCCCCGCCAGGCTGCATTAGGTCCTGCCTAATGGATGTGCTGTGTGTGGGCCCACCTCCCCCCCTCCCCCCGGGCCTCTCGCTGGGCATCTTGCGTGTGATCTGCTCTCTAGGCCTGTGATCTGCGTGTCCAGGCGCCCGGATGGGGCCAGCAGCCACCCCCGGGGACAGGCACCGCGGGAGGGGAGCCGGGGGAGGGCCCTCACCGAACCGGCAGATGTAGCGGTTGCGGGTTTTGCAGCGCTGGTCGTTCCAGTTGAAGGCGGCCGAGGCCTGCAGCTCCACGCAGTTGCCGAACCTGCCGGGCCAAGGTGCCGGGTGCTCAGGTGGGAGGACGTGAGGCGTCCGGGAGTCTCAGGTCCTCCTCCCCAGCGGGCCACCTGCACCTAAGGGGCCTCCATGCCTCTAGCCTGTACGTGGGGCTTCTGGGAGCCAGACCAGCCAAGCGCCCATCCCTGCCCGGACCCCTGCAGCGTTCCCAGGGAAGCCGGGAGGTCCTGGCACACTGCCTGCCTGGGGCAGCAACTCCACCTGCCCACCCACCCACTGCCCCACTCAGCCACACCGGCCAACGGGGCGGGGAGCAGACCAGGAACAGGCATGCCCTCCCTCCTGGGACGGAGCCTGTGTCTGGGAGCCCAACCAGGCTGCCTTCCTCCAGGCCAGTGGTCGGCAAACTCCTTCGTCAACAGAGCCAAATATCAACGGTACAACGATGGAAATTTCTTTGGAGAGCCACATTTTTTAAGCGTAAGCTTCTTCTAACGCCACTTCTTCAAAATAGACTCGCCCAGGCCGTGGTATTTTGTGGAAGAGCCACACTCAAGGGGCCAAAGAGCCGCGTGTGGCTCGGGAGCCTCAGTTTGCCGACCGCGGCTTTAGGTGATGGGCCAGAGGCATAGGCCTGGCTGCCTTCAAGGAGGGGGGTCTGGGTGAGATAGTTGTGGGGGGGGTGGGAGGTGAGATAGTTGGAGCCCTGGGTGGCCACACAGCCTGACCACCTCCACCCCTGTCACCCCACCCCAGGCATTCCTAGGCTCTGAAGACCAGGGCAGGACCACAGAACCAGAAGGCACTCCATGCAGGCTGGCTGGTGGGTGGATGCTGTGATGCAGGTGGGTGGGTGGGTGGCCACAGAATCCGGGAATCGGTGCACTGACACAGACACAGGGCTGGGGAGGGGGATGGACAGTTGACGGGGAGGACCATGGGGATGGGGGAGGAGGGAAGCACGGATAAAGCCTCCTTGGGTTCCCTGGAACATCCTCATCTCAGCCCCATGCCCACCCCCGGCTGTGCCCTGACCTCCTGGCACCGGATAGCAGGAGGCTCGGCCAGGCTGGTGGAGGTTCTTCAGTGGGATCTTAGGGCTTAGTGAGCAGGCCCTGGGGAGAGGGAGGGCTCAGGGGAGGGAGGGCAGCCCAGACTCACCCCTGGTTGTCAGGCTGCCCAAAGGCAAAGCTGGTGAAGGCCTGGTGCTCCCCGGTGGCCCAGCGGAAGGCGTCCTTGGCGGTCTTGTAGGTGAGCCCTGGGCCGGGCAGTCCAGGAGGGCTGGAGCCTGAGCCCGCGGCCTCGTGCTTGCCTGGTCCCGGCCCTGAAGCCCCCTCTCTGCTCTCGCGTTCCCCAGTGGTTCTCTCTCACGGCAGCTCCCTCCCCAGGGCAGGGGGAGCCAGCCTGACTGCGGGCCCCATGGGGCTCCGAGCCTTCCTCCCCGCCGCGCTCTCTGCTGGTGGGTGGGTGCTCTGGTTTCCACGGCCCAGATTCCTGGGGGGCGCCCCAGCCCCCCCACACTTACCGATCCAGAAGTTCCTGGTCTCAAAGTCGCTGTCGGTCACCTCGTTGGTGGTCTCCAGGCGGCCCAGGTAGAAGGCAAGGATGTCCTGTACCTTCTGGCTCTCGATCTGGGCGAGCACCCCGCCCTTCCCCTGTGTAACCCCCGCTCTGGGTCATGACGGCAGAGACCCAGAGCTCAGGCAGCCCTTGCTGCCCCACCACGGCCACGAATGGCAAATACGCGTACTGGCTGTGCTGTCGTCGCCTTCCCCCCACCCCACAGCCTCCCCCTTCCTCTCCCCCGCCTGCACCGGGGCCCAGCCTGGCGGGGTCCTGCCACTGGAGGGTTTTGGTTTGCTTGCTCAGTGCCTTAGACACATTTGAGTTGGCTGCCAACATGAATAATTCTAGACATGCCAATGAAAATCTGGATTTCTGGTTCTGAAAAATCCCTAGTTCTGGCCTTCCTGACTCGGATCCCTGTTGGCAGCCGGCAGCTGGAGCTGAGTCAGGACAGCTCCTTAGACGGGGCCCTCGGCTCATTGTGAGACCTCCTGGTCTCCATGGCTCTGAGTGGACACCCCTGCTTCATGCTAATGATGAGAAGATGTTGAAGGAACCGCCCCTTAGCCCAGGATCCCTCCTTAGTCCTTGAGACCCTAGAGGGGAGGGGCTTCCTGGGGAGGCAGGGGTCAGCTGTCACCTGGCATTTCATCTTGGCTCCGTAATAGGTGTCCGCCTCTGGAGACACCATGAAGCAGTCTCCGTCGATCCTCAGGTCACAGGTGTGGAAGGGAAAGTGCACCTTGGCTGGGGGCAGGGGGAGTGTGAGTTTGCGTGTAAGCACCTCATGTTAAAATCGTCACCCCTCCCACCCTGCCAGGGAGCTGAGCTCAAGGTACCACTCCCTGGAGAGTGGGTGGGGCCAGTGGTGTGCTGGTAAATGTATAAAAGCCAGCTCTCGGCCTCAAAATCAATCAATCAATCAATCAATCAATCTGTGATTTGTAGCATTTGCCAATTCCCATGGTGTAAGTACCCATTCCGTGGCCCATTTCAAGGTATTAATATCACTGACCATGGAACTGGGAAGAGATGTGTACGGCAGGCAATTATGCGGTGGCCCGAGCCAGACCCGGTACCCTATCCAGGGGGTCCTGGGAGGGCCCGGCTTGTTGGGGGCCTGGGGTCAGAACTCACTGGCACATTGGGCTCCCCCGTAGCCGACGTCACAGACACAGGAGCACTCCTCTTCCCGGAACCGGCCATGCACGCACTGCATGCTGCACCGCACTGCAGGACAGGGCGGGAGGGGCCTGCGCTCAGCCACAACCCTCCACCCCATGCTGCCCCCCGCAGGCCAGGCTGCGGACATGCAGGGACTGGCCAACCACAGAGAGGTCCCCTCCCAGGGCTCCCAACCGCTGCCCCTCTGGGCGTCTTTGGTTTGATCTTGTAGAGAGAAGCAAATTGGGGTCGGGGTGGTGACCTGGCCGTGGCCACAGAGCTGGGGAGGGGAGACAATGGGAGAGGAATCCACTTTGAACCCTAAGTCTGCCTTCCACCACCTCAGGATGTATGGGGGCCACTCCTGATTCTGTTTTGAACCCCCTCCCCCTGCCCCCTGCACAGCTCAGGGTCTTGCCGACAGTCGGTGCTCAATGGATGCTTGTTGAATGACTATGTGCAGTGCTCAAATCAGCAAGCACCCCCCTCCCCCCAGCACACTTGGTACTCCCTCAAACTCATTCACAGAGTGCAGCACAGCCCCTGGACATACCACACAGCGCCTGTGTGCACACACATGCCCACATGCACTGGGCTCAGCCCCTCCTCACCCCCACGGGCTGCCTGAGTGTGCGCCAGGCCCAGACTCCCCTCGCCGGGCCCCTTAGGCCGCTATGGTCTACAACTCCGGGGCGCCTCACCTTGGCAGAATCTGCCCGTGTAGCCAGGGGGGCAGAGGCAGCGGCAGGTGCTGACGTTGAGCTGTCCGTGGTTCCGGCAGCTCATGCGACAGGGGTTCCTGGGGACCTCTGGCCAGAGAAGGAGGGACCTCTGAGAGGGGCTGCCTCAGGCAGGTGCCTCCCGGGGGCTGGGCCCAGGCTTCTGGGACAGCCCCTCGGGGTGCTGCCACTTTCTCCAATCGCCCGTCACGCTCTCAGCTGCCCGCTCCCACAGGAGGAGGCGGGTAAGGGGGCACTTACCACAGAGCCCGCCTGCGTGGTCCCAGGCCTTGAAGCAGCCCGAGACGCTGGCCGTGCAGAGCGAACACCAGGCGCCCTTCTTGTAGGGGACGATTGGCTGCCCGTTGACCTCCCAGTTGCCTCTGTGAGAGTAAGCACTGGAGAGAGGCTGGGAGGACCCCCGCCATCAGCCTGCCCCACCCACCCGCCCCTCAGCTCAGCCAGGGGACTTGGGGAGCTGGGTGAGACTGGGAGATTTCCCGGAAAAGGAGAGAGGGCCTCCCAAGGAATCCTGGAACATCTCCTGCAAGCAGAGAGTGCTTCCAGGAGGAGGCATCCATCCGAGGAGACTCCACTCCTGCGGGGCCAGGATTGTGGTGCTGCCACCTCGGCACCCAATCCCTAACCCCCTTCTTCCCTCTCTCCCACAGGGTGGAGATCTAGGGGTAAAGGCCTTGTGGGTGAGTGGTAGACACCTCTTCCAGGTTGAACGTGTCCTCGCCCCAGCCTGACAGCCCCGGGGCGGGGGGGGAGCTTACCCAGGAAAGTAGGCACAGACAAAGGCTTCCATCCCGGCCTGGTCCCCAGAGCAGGGATGACGCCCACAGCCCAGCTGGCTCGAGGTGGCCCACACGAGCTGCGGGAGACACAGTGGCTCAGAAGTCCTATCGGGCCACCCCCAGACTGGGGCCAGCAGCACAGGTGATGCTCTGGCCCCAAACGAGGCAGGCAGGCAGCTCCCTCGCCTCCCTGGGGGCCTCAAGAGTAGCAGCTATGATGATCAGGGCCGTAAGGATGGGTGGGAATGGCCTGGGACGCTGTCTGGGTGTTCAGGGGAGTGGAGGGTGAGGGCAGGCAGGTACCTGAAAGGAGGGGAGATTGTGGAGGGGTGGAGGAGAGATGCTACAGGAAGACTTGGACGTGAAAACCTTGTGACAGATTGCAAAAACTCTGGCCGCACTTCTTGCTTCAGCTCCTTTTTATTTTTTATTTTATTTATTTTTTTAATATATGTTATTGATTTTTGTACAGAGTGGAAGGGAGAGAGATAGAGAGTTCGAAACATCAATGAAAGAGAGTAATCGATCAGCTGCCTCTTGCACACCCCCTACTGGGGATATGCCCGCAACCAAGGTACATGCCCTTGACCGGAATTGAACCTGGGGCCCTTCAGTCCCCAAGCCGACGCTCTATCCATTGAGCCAAACCGGTCCCGGCTTCAGCTCCTTTTTAAATGTGGCTTTGCAGTTCTTTGTGTCAAGAGAAGTACTCTCTTTCCCATACCCTGAGTCTGGCTGGCCCTGTGGCCAATATCAGAGGTGATATTGAGCCAGTTTTGAACCGAGGCCTCAGGAGACCCTGCAATTTCTACTCACTCTCATAACACCATGCTCAAGTCACCTCATGAACAAGCCTGCTGGAGGCTGAAAGACCTCTTAGGGCGGAGATGAGCCAGTTAGAGCCACTTTAGCAGCCAGCTTCTGCCAACCCCACAGCTGATTGAGTTGCATGAGTGGGCCCAGCCAAGACCAGAAGAACCTCCCAGCTGATCCCAACGCAAATTGTGTATTTGCCGAATTGTAAGATGCTACATTGTGGGGGAGTGTGGGTGCATCCAAAGCTAATCAATACAGGTTGCTAACAGTGTTCAAAACTTAGATTTAAAGTTTTAGATTCAGTGACAATGTGGATATAGAACAAGTGGTCAAAGCACAAGAAGAGCTAAGCAAATTGGTAGCCGTTAAAAATGATAGGTGTGGCTCTAAGCTGGTTTGGCTCAGTGGAGAGAGCATTGACCTGTGGACCAAAGGGTCCCGGGTTCGATTCCGGTCAAGGACGTGCCTTGGTTGCAGGCTCCTCCCCGGCGTGGGCTCTGGTCAGGGCTCACGCAGGAGGCAATCAATCTCTGTGTTTCTCTCACATCAGCGTTTCCGTCTGTCTTTCCCTCTCTCTTCCACTCTCCCTGAGAATCAATGAAATAATATCCTTGAGTGAGGATTAACAAACAAATAAAAGACAGGTATGAGGCAGGGAGAGATGAACATGTGGTCATACGTATGTGTCCAACAATGAAAGAATATGCATTTTTTAAATATATATATATATATATATATATATATATATATATATATATATATATATATATTTAAAGAGGAAGCGAGAGGGAGAGAGAGAAACATCAACGATGAGAGAGAATCATTGATCTGCTGCCTCCTGCAGGCCCCCTATTGGGAATCGAGCCCACAACCTGGGCATGTGCCCTGACTGGGAATCCAATTATGATTTCCTGGTTCATAAATGGACGCTCAACTACTGAGCCACACTGGCTGGGTAGAATATGCATTCTTTTTAGGAATTCATGGAATTTTTCCAAATGTTGACCCCATTAGCAAACCACAAAGCAAGATTCATCCATTACCAAAGAACCAATATCCTATAGGCCATGTTCTATGACTTCCATGCAATAAAATCCAGAGTAAGTAATTTAGAAGTAAAGAAGAAAGTATAGTTTAGAAATTTAAATATACATTTTAAAATCAAAGGCAACATCATAATGGAAGTAGGAAACACTTAGAACTTAAATGACGTTGAAAACACTATCAAACTTATATGATAGAATGTGGCTAGCAAAGTTTAGGGAGAAATCTATAGCTTTAAATGCATAAAGCAGTAATGAAAAATACTTAAAATCAATGAGCTAAGAACCCATATCACGAATATAAAAAGAGATAATAGAGTAAGTTGAATAAAATAGAAGAAAAAAATAAAAATAAAAACAGAAATGAACAAAAAAAATTAAATGAAGACAAAGAAAAAGCAGATTTGTTCAAATAGAAAAACCTCTGAAAAAAGACTAAAAGAGAGAAGGCACAAATAAATGTGGGACTTTTAAAAGGACATTAGCTATACAGTAAATACTTTAAAATCTCTGTTTAATTCTAGTTTTAAAAATCTCTGTTAAATAATGAACAACTATGAAGTATTTGTTTTCTCACTGACACCATCTAACTGCCATTCTATTGTACAGATTCAAGGAGTTTCTATTACCTTTAGAATTGGATGTTAATGAAAAGCAAACCACCAATCATTTTTTTTCTATTACCAATACATTTTTTAGAATCTGAATGGCTAGTTCTAAAAGTCAAGAGAATGAATGGCTACCTATTTATAACTAACTCATAAAATAAACTTTGCAACACATTTTTTTGAAAAGAACAACTATGATCAATACATTGGAAAACACAGAATGGACAGTTTTCTATGAAATAGAAGTTGGCAAAACTCTCTCAAGAAGAAACAAAAAATCTGAAATGATTAATGACCATTTCTTCCTTTTCCTTCTATATTTTAAAATATATTTTTATTGATTTCAGAGAGGGAGAGAAAGATAGAAACATCAAGTCTGAGCAAGAATCATTGATCGGCTGCCTTTTTTTTTTTTTGAAGATAAAGGATCTGAGTTTATTTCCGGGCCTCTGAGCAGGGCGTTCCTCCCCCTAGGCCGCTGCATCAGAGCACGGGGACCAGAACAAAGAACCGGCCAAGAAGAAGAGGAGAAAGGAAAAGAGATGCCTGAGTTAATGTGCACTTTGGGGCTTCTGCTTCCCGTCTCCCCGAAAAGCAACACCGCCCCTCGTCCGACAGCCCGCACCGCGATCGGCTGCCTCTTGCATGCCTCACACTGGGGATCAAGCCTGCAACCCGGGCATATGCCCTTTACTGGAATCAAAGCTGGCACCCTTCAGTCTGCTGGCTGACACTCTATCCACCGAGCCAAACCAGCTGGAGCTGATAATTGTGGAAGCTGGGTGACAGGTACATGGGGTTTATTATATCATGTGACCTTTTTGTATATGTTTGAAATTTTCTGTAATAAAACTTTTAATCTTCACCCGAGGATATCTTTTTACTGATTTTTGAGAGAGACAGGAAGGAAGAGAAAGAGAGAGAGCGAGAGCAAGAGAGAGAGAAAATATCATCAATCAGTTGCCTCCTGTTCACACCCCAAGGGTCAATCCCACAACCTATGTATGTGCCCTGAAAAAAAGCAAAACTGGCATGGCTCAGTGGTTGAGCATCAACCTATGAACAGGAGGTCACAGTTCAATTCCCAATCGGACTCATGCCTGGGTGGCGGGTTTGACCCTTATTGTGGGGCATTCAGGAGGGAGCCGATCAAGGATTCTCTCTCATCACTGATTTTTTTTATCTTTCTTTCTGAAATCAATAAGAATAAATATTTTTTATTTTTTTAAAAATATATTTTATTGATTTCTTACAGAGAGGAAGAGAGAGAGAGAGAGAGCTAGAAACATCGATGAGAGAGAAACATCGACCAGCTGCCTCTTGCACAGCCCCCACCGGGGATGTGCCCACAACCAATGTACATGCCCTTGACCGGAATCGAACCCGGGGCCTTTCAGTCCGCAGACCGACGCTCTACTGCTGAGCCAAACCGGTTTCGGCAAGAATAAATATTTCTTAAAGGTAAAAGCACACAAATTGGAGGACAAGCAACCACTCATCTTAGGACAATCTCTAGCCCCTCTGAGCCCGCACCCTGGCCTCACCTGAGTGTAGTGGCTGCAGGTGGCGTTGAGGGCACACCCAGCCGCCTCGTGGCTGTACCGCTGGCCTTCCGCAAACCACAGGCCCACCACGTGGACGAAGGGCGCCACGCCCACGGGCAGCAGCTGCACGTTCCAGCCCACCTGTGAAGTGGCCGCCTGCGTGGGCGCCCGGCTTGAGGTTGGGACGCCACAGAGGGCTGCCCTGGCCTGAGCCTGTCGGGCGAGGCTCTCACTCCAGTCCTGGGGGCGGTACAAACAGAAACATCAGCAGGGGGCTCTCCCTTGCCATCCTCCCCACATCCCCGGGGTTGCTAGCTGCAGAGAGCTCTGGGCCAGGTGTCCTGCTCGGCTGCCTGGCCGCTCTGCGCGGGTTTTACCCAGTTCACCGGGCCGGGGAAGGTCTGGTAGGACCAGCCCAGAGCTCTCCAAGGTGCTTTGGGAAAGGACCAGCCCCAAGCCGGCTCCACCCAGGACTGGATGCCTCCATCCTCCTGACCCCTGTGGGCACCCTCAGGCCCTGATCCCGGCACCACCATCCTGGGGGGACAGGTGCCCCGGAGGGAGCAATGCCAGCCCAGGCGCCGGGATGGGTCTCTGCAGTAATCTTTCCCGCCTGGGAATGAGCGCACGGGCAATGCCCACGCCTTCCATACTGGTTCTGGGTTGGCCATGAGGTACGCCTGGCCCTGGCCATGCCCAGCTGATCCCACTCGGCTTCCCTTCTGTGATGCCAAAAGCTGCAGCAGCCGGGCCTCTGTACCCTATTCCCCTACCCACCCCGGCCTTGGCGTGTGAAGGGCACCCACAGGGAAGGGGGCCGGCGAGGGTGTTGGAGGTCTCTTTGGTCCCAGAGAGCAGAGTGTTTTGGAGCAGCTGTAATCTGCTCTCCCTACCCAGGCACCAGCGGACCTCCCCGCACCCTGACCCCTCAGCACCCCCTCCTCTGAAACAAGGCCCTCTGCGGGCAGGATGACGTATAGAATCCGGTCGCCATGCCCTGGGCCACCTAGACACCTCATCATGGCTGTGGGACCTCCAGCAGTCCCCTAATCTGCATAAGACTCAACATCCCCATTTCCCATCTGTAAAATGGGAACACTAAGGCACCCATAGGCTGAGACTGTCTTGAGGATTAAATGGATGCAGGGCCCAGCCGGCTCAGTGGCTCAGTGGTTGAGCGTTGATCTATGAACCAAGAAGTCAGGGTTCAATTCCCAGTCAGGGCACATGCCCAGTTTGTGGGCTTGATCTCCAATAGGGGGTGTGCAGGAGGCAGCTGATTTATGATTCTCTCTCATCCTGGATGTTTCTATCTCTCTCTCCCTTCCTCTTTGAAATCAATAAAAACATATTTTTAAAAATAAAGTAAAATAAATGGATGCAGGGATGAGAGTGCATTGCTGAGGGCCTGACTCACAGCAAGGGGCCATAGTGACTTTACTGCCTGTGGGGCTAGAGCTGGGAGCAACAGGGCCCACTGGGGCCCCTCAGCAGCCCTGAGCCACCCCCAGCGCCTCAACCCCACGGGGAAAAAAGCTGTAGAAGCCCACGGGGGTGCCCAGGACCAAGCCACAGGTATGAGGGAGGCTGTGTGGGGACTTCTTTTTGCATCTTTTGTGAAACGCTGTTTTCTAAGAGTTTGGCAAAGAGGGCAAAAAAAAAAAAAAAAAAAAAAGTGTAGAAACGGCACCCTGATCGGTTTGGCTCAGTGGATAGAGCGTCAGCCTGCAGACTGAAGGGTCCCAGGTTTGATTCCGGTCAAGGGCATGTACCCGTGTTGCGGGCACATCCCCAGTAGGAGGTGTGCAGGAGGCAGCTGATCGATGTTTCTCTCTCATCGATGTTTCTAACTCTCTATCCCTCTCCCTTCCTCTCTATTAAAAAATAAATAAATAATATACATTAAAAAAAGAAAAGCGTAGAAACAGCTGATCAGGGTGCCCTCACACCAGAGTGTGGGAAGGGGCGTGGGTGCCAGGACCTGGGCCTGAAGGAGGGGCAGAGCCACTGCAGCGCAGGGAAAGTGGGAGAGGTGACCCCCCCCCCCCTTCCCGGTCCCACCCCCACCGCCTGGGAAACTGACCCAGAGCTCTCAAGGTCACCGTGCTCAGCCAGGGGAGGCGGCGTCTGTGGGAGGCAGTCATGGGGAGCCCTGCCCGCTCCCACCCCGGCCCTCCCTCCCTCCCAGGCCTGTGAGCATCGGCTTGGGTAGCTGAGGACCCACACCGTGGGGGCAGAATTTCTGGGCCTCAGGAAGACACCTCCAACCCCAGAGCCCCAGCCAGGGGTGGTGGGAAACCCTGTACCACTGACCGTAGTCCCCGTGAATGAGCAGGGAACTTAGAGGGGCCTCCTTTTCCCAGACAAACCCGTGAGGAAGCAAGCACTGGGTCCCGGCCCCACACAAGCCCCTCCCCTGAGCGGGATGCTTCTCTCTCCATCCTGCTGGGACTCCTTTGTGAAGCTCCTTCCATGCCTCCTGGTCTCCAGGACGACCGGGTGGGAGGTGAGGAAAGGCCAAAGGAGGGCCCTTCTGGGAAGCAGGAAGCTGCGGAGCCCCCAGCAACCAGGCCCATCCCGCTGCGGGCCAGGAGGGCTGGCTGCCCCTTCTGCTCTGCTCAGGTGGAAGGCGCCTGGTGCCCGCAGGGCCCCATGAGCCCTGTTGGGGACTGCCCCTCCACCCCCCCCTCCATGAGCCGGGCCGGGCGGGCACTCACCAGTCTCTGCATGTTGGCCGCAGGGGGGTGCACCCGGCTGCGCAGGCGGTTGTGCAGGGAGAGGAGCAGGAAACCCTCCTTCCTGCTCAGGGCTGGGGTGGGAGACAAGGTCAGGGCCCCCGGAGCCACGGAGCCCGTGCCCTGGCTGACGGGGTGGGGTCACCATGTCAAGAGGAGAATGCAATCCTGTCCTTAGGAAACAAGACCTGAGGTGGGACAGGAGGACCCGGAGCAAAGAGATGGGGGACTAAGAGGTGGAGAAGAGTCGTGGTGAGAGGGACAGGTGTAAAGGAGCTTGGCTGAGAGCTGGGCGTGGGGAGATAGGGGCCATAGGGGCTGGGGGTTGGGTGTGAGGAGGACACTGGCCCTGAGCTCATGGAAGCCCCCTGGCTCGGGCTCCTCCTAGGGCCCCAACTGCAAACTCTAGGCTTCATTCCTCCTTGACCCCCAGGCCTGGGCCCGCTGCCCTTCATTCTTCCTCGTCCCCCACTCATCTCGGCTCTTGGCCCCTGGACGGGCCGAGGGCTGCTCTTTAGACCACATCCGCATGCACAGGGCTCACACCTCGAGCTAGCTTCTAGAAGCCCCCTAGAGCCCCTGAGCCACACCATAGCTCCTCCATCTGGCCTCGCCCGGGGCCCCTTACCTCCGGGCATTGGCGCCTGCTCCTCCCGCAGCTGGAGCGGCCGCACCTCTGCCCAGGCCACGCTAAGCAGAGCCAGGAGCACGGGCAGGAGGCCAGGCCCGCGGCCCCCCAGCCCGGAGGAGGGCTCCAGCCACAGCATGGGTCTGCAGGGCGATCTGGGAGCAGCCTGGCTCCGCCGACCAGCGTCCGGCTCTCGCTTCCCAGGCTGGACGGAGCTATTCACAATCTCGAGGAGTCAGGCTGGGCTGGCAGACAAAAGGAGGAGGCTGGTGAGTAATCATTGTGTCCAAACAAGCCTCCCATCCAGGCTGGCATGAAAGGGATAGAAGCTGCAATCCCAGCCGCCCCCCAACCGCCGACCTACCAGCCAGGCGGTGTGCACTGACCCCGTGGCCCCTGCTAATCATTGCAGGGTCCTCACAGCCTCGGGTGCCCTTGCGGGCCTTGCTGATTGGCCCACGGACATTCCAGGGCTGCGGATTAACAAGTGATGGCGGTGCCCTGGCCGGGACAGTGTCCTTCCTCAGAGGCTTCCCACTCCCAGCCCCAAGCCCAGGCGGGAGGCTGGGGCCTCAGCCGTGTGCCCTGCGTGCGGGCAGGAACTGGGCAAGACCCCAGGGGAGTTCTTTCCTTTCTTGGGAAGCTAGTCCCAGCCCCCAGCCATGAATTAAACATGGGCAGGTGGTAACTGTACACCAGACAGGTGCCGTCGGTGGGTGGGCGGGCACTGGGGCTGTAGGCTCGAGGGAAGTGGGCTGGGAGGAAAGGGTGCTCTAGGAAAGTCTGTCTGGGTCGTGTGGGGGCTGGCTCCCCTCACACCCTCCCTCTCCCCCCCGCGGTCTCCCATGTGACTACTGGCCAGGAGCAGGCAAGGCAAGAGGCAGGACAGCACGTGACAGCCTTGGCTAGCCTGAGTCCTGCAGGGAACACGTTGGCCCCTAGACAAACAGCTGGTGTAGTTAGGGGGCAGCAACTTGCCATGATCCTCGGGGTCTGGCCACGGCTACGCAATCCGAAGAGAATATATTGATCTGCACCATGGCTCACGTTTCTTAGAAAAACAAAAGGCTGCCTTGCAGGCCACAGGCAAATTGTCCACGTTCCCTACAGCGCGGATCAGAGGGTATTCAGCCACCCTTGCAAGCCAACTACCTCTTCCTTCTGGAGTTTGTGCAACCCCTGACCCCCGGCCTGACACTCTCTGAGCCCGGTGTCAACTCCCTGGGAGCTTTGCTGAGATGCAAGTAGGCTTGTAAATAATAATGGTTTAATCCAAAAAAAGAAAATAAAAACAAAGTTAAAAAATAGGTGGCAAGTGGGGAGAAAGAGGGAGTGTGGCAGGAGAGCTCATTTTCCAGGTCCGTAGAGAATATCTGAACACTGAATACTTGAATGCTGGCATTCAGACCCAGGCCAGGCCAGCTCCAAAGTCATTCTCTTGACCAACCTCAACGAGCCCTTCCATCTAGGACTCTGAGAGCCTTGAGTCCAAGGATGCCCCAGATCCAAGTGTCTGAGGGGCCCCGACTCTACAGAGCCCCGCTTAGGAAGGACAGTGGGAGGAGACGGGCCCATCCCTCCTTCAAGGCTTCACCAAAGGAGCATCTTCTCAGTCCTTGGCGTACACAGGAGTCACACTGGATTATCTCCTCTCAGGGGAGATTTGATTAATCCTGACATCCTGCACTCTGTAGGAGGGGCTCTCTCAACGCAGGAAACCTGTGAATTCATATGCCACAGCGCCACCTACTGGTCAGGTAATATGGCCAACGGCAGTAAACTAATATCACTTAACAGTGTTTCCCAAACTTTTGACATATGGGTACCCCTTCTATAATTTTCGTAACGCTAAGTACCCCTCGTACTCATGAGAACGTAGAATTAGGCGCAGCTAAGCACGGTGCAGTGCATATCCCCACCAAACTCTTCCCGTAACCCCTAGGGGTATGCGTACCACACTTGGGGAAACACTGCACTACAGGATTAGCCCCATTTCACAGATGGGCAAAAAGGACCCCAGCCTTCCCTTCGGTCAGTGTGGGTCAGCGGAGGTGCTTTGGGGGGACCACTCTGGCCAGAACAGGAGGCCCCCATGGTCCCTACACACACTCACTTGCTCCAGGTTGTCTGGGTCTCACCAATAGGAACGCAGACAGGTGACCGGTCACCTTAGAGAGCCTAACTCCTCAGAGCCCCCGTGTTGGGAGCCATCAGAGTTGAGACAAGCAACTTCGTCTTAAGAAAATACAACTCCATCTTAGAATTAAGTTCCTTCTAGCAGAAGTTATGCGGTGCCCTGCGGGTTTGGCCAGAAGCTAAAGATTAACCTGCCCCTTAGCACGTCTTGCTCCGGAGGATCTCTGCAACTCCCCTTCCTGATCCTCCCCCATAGCTAGCCCCACCTGGGAATGTTCCCATGGCAACTCAGCTGGAGTCAGCCGCTGGTTGAATCAGAGCAGCGCCGGTAAAGACACCACTCTAGCAACTAAAAGTTAGGACACCGCCCTAGCAGCTAGAAGTTAGAGTGCCGCCCTGGCAGTTAGCCAATCCTGTGTTGCCAGATACCTTACCACCTTGTCACTCAGTGCCTAAACCAATTATACACTGTCAAAGACCCCGCTGCGTAGGCAACCCTGCCCCCCTTTGTTCCTGCTGTATATATACTGCTATTCCAAAAATAAAGTTTGAGGCTTGATCAGAACTTTGTCTTGCCTCCATTTCTCCGTGCCCCTGTCCCTTCTTTTCATCCTCCACAGGTCCTCCCTCTCCCCACGTTGTCATGCCCCGCGGGTCGGGGCACCCCCGCCCACATGTGCTTTCACTCCCTCAGCCTGCAAGGGTCAGACTGACATCAAAAGCAACAACCTCACCAAAACCGGTTTGGCTCAGTGGTAGAGCGTCGGTCTGCAGACTTAAAGGTCCCAGGTTCGATTCCGGTCAAGGGCATATATCTTGGTTGCTGGCACATCCCCAGTAGGGGGTGTGCAAGAGGCAGCTGGTCGATGTTTCTCTCTTATTGACGTTTCTAGCTCTCTATCTCTCTCCCTTCCTCTCTGTAAAAAAAATAATAAAATATATATTAAAAAAAAAAAGCAACCACCTCTACTTTTGTCCTTTTGTGTTTTGATAAAACACTGAAGAAACTAGAGCTGTTAAAATTTACCTTGGGGAAAACATCAGAACTGGTTTATCTGGTGTCGTGGAACCTCTTACTGCTTTTAATACACGATTAGTAATAATAATAATAAAAAAAATAGTCAACCTCTGACAGCCAGCCAAGCTCCTTACATTGATTGCTCTTTTCCATATCTCTGTTTCTAGTCATTGGGTCAACTCGGCCTTACATGCCCTCCTGGCCCCTTGTTCTACAGGAAACGGTAGAGGTCACTGGCTTCAGACATATAACCTTGGCTCCAGTCCCAGACCTTCCCACTAGCTGTGTGATCTTGAAAAAGTCGTGTTACAGCCCTAGCCAGTTTTGCTCAGTGGATAGAGCGTTGGCCTGGGGACTGAAGGGTCCGGGGTTTGATTCCGGTCAAGGGCACATGCCTGGGTTGCAGGCTCCATCCTCAGTAGGGGGTGTGCTGGAGGCAGCCGATCAATGATTCTCTCTCATTATTGATGTTTCTCTCTCTCTTCCTCTCCCTTCCTCTCTGAAATCAATAAATATATTTGAAAAGAAAAAGTCATGGTGCATCTGAGTCTACTAGTACATCATCTACTAAAAACTTACCTCTTAAGATTGCCATAAAGGTGAAATGTATAAGATAAGCCCTTGTCCCGTGTAAAGCACACTCTTAAAGAACCAGCTTAAGGCCCTTGCTGGCAGGGCTCAGTGGATAGTGTTTTCCCACGCACTGAAGGGTCACAGGTTCGATTCCCAGTCAAGGGCATGTTCAAGGGCATGTACCTGTGATGCACATTTGATCTGGGTTTGGGGGCTTGCAGGACGCAACCAATCGATGTGGCTCTCTCACATCAATGTTTGTGTGTTTTTTTTTTCTCTCTCTCTCCCCTTCCTCCCTCATTTCTACTCTCTCTGAAAAAGCACTGGGGAAAAAAAATATCCTTGGATGAGGATTTAAAAAAAAAAGAAGCAGCTTAAGTTCCCCCTCATCCACATAGCTTTAGATAACTATCATTTCTTCTTCTAATTAGTTGGCACCCAGGCAACTTCTCTAGATACTAGAGAACTTCCTGGAAAGTTCTTTAGAAGTACTTACCTGCCCTTCAGCCTTATTATTATTAATTATTATTGATTATCTTCGCCCTTATTACATCACTTCATTTGGAGGGTCTTGGTTTAAATTTCCCCCAAGTGATTCTAATGCATTAGAATCTCTAGTGCCTCACGTAACACCTACTTGAACAGTTCACTATTTCATGTGTGAAAAGACCCAGATGTGAGTCCTTGAGAATATACTTCTAAAGCCTCAGCTTCCTCATGGTGAGTCAAGGCTGCTCCCATCTCTAGGACACAGATTCAGGGGACATTCCAATGAGGGAATGCAGTCAGGGCAGTTGGCCCCGAGCTGCAGTCTCCCTCTGTCTTACTCAGACGACAGGAAGTAGTTCCACAGCACCCAGCACAGTGCGAGTCCCTCGCAGGTGTTTTACTGCATAAACACACCAGGATCTGTGGATGCAAGTGGGTGTGGTAAGAGCACTGGCTGCTTCTCATAGATAACGTTCTGGAAACTCCCCACGGCCGTGACCAAGAACACACACACACACACACACACACACACACACACCTTATTTCCACATAAACATGGGCTCATATGAGTGATGCATCAAGTGCCAGGTTTCTAGCATGAAGTCAGTTGTAAGGCAGGATGTCGAACCCAGGGACAGGCAGTAACCTCAGGAGGAATGGAGGCTTTCTCTCAGAGCCAGGCCAGCACCGCAGGGAGGGGACAGAACGCCTATATCTATCGCACCTCGGCTTCCACATTCTGTTTTACATTTGGTAACACAGGAAGCAACAGTGTGTGTTTTTGTTTGTTTGTTTAAAAAATATATATATTTTATTGATTTTTTTCAGAGAGGAAGGGAGAGAGGTAGAGAGCTAGAAACGTCGATGAGAGAGAAACATCGACCAGCCGCCTCTTTCGGATGTGCCCGCAACCAATGTACATGCCCTTGACCGGAATCGAACCCGGGACCTTTCAGTCCGCAGACCGACGCTCTACCACGGAGCCAAACCGGCTTCAGTAGGGAGCAACAATTTTATGTGATGGCAAGCACAGTTGAAGAATATTTCACAGACATGGTAACGGTCACCCTGTGGGCCTGTGACCAGGGCCCTTGAGAGAAGATCCCATTTACCTAAGTTCCTCAAATGGCTTCAGGGCCACACAGGACCACATGCTAGCGCTGCACAACAAAGGGACAGAGAGGGCTGGACAGGACGGCACATTTACAGTGAGCTGTGGCACTTTACAGTCATTACAGAGGCGCTTTGACACATGGAGAGAGTGGACCGGAGAGGAGGTGTGAGCTGTGCTGCTGGAGAACCCCTCACTGAGACGGGCTGGGCAGCCTCTCCCCACACCCGCCTGTTCTGGGGAAGGAGGGGTGAGCGGGCGATGGGACCTCAGCCTGAAATGGCGTTACCTTTGCCTCCTCCCTCCCCTCGCCCCCACCGGGGGACACTCTGGAGTGTAAGGTAGGGGTGTCGAACTCAATCAGAGAAGGGGCCAAAATCTAAAATCCAGCCTAAATCGCAGGCCAAATGGTTTACTGAACAGTCATAAACTGTCATTGTGATGGAAACGCAGCGGAGTGCAGTGATGACAGCGCGGTGTGGGCCACACTGCAAGGCCTGGCGCGATGGATTTGGCCCGTGGGCCTTGTGTTTGACACATGTGGTGTAAGGCACAAGAACTGGCGGGAGGAAAGATGTGCTCCAAGCCCCAGCTCTTGGTGTGCAAGGGGATTCCTGGCTGAGAGCTTGCGAAACAGGTGCTAAAGATATCCTTCCCATCTCTTATAATTTCTGTCCTTGAGAGACAGAAAAACAAGAAGGACTGCAAAGGATAAAAATAGCTGCGCCTAAATACCATGGGAAAAATGGCCCACGAGAAATGCGTAATTCTGCAAAGGATGCTCTGCTCTGGGAAGTCTAGGCTCTCACAAGGAATAACCCTGACATTCTGTGGAAAAAGGAAAGCTAAAAACGTAAACACACTCAATGCTCTTAAAATACTGCACTGGTGCTTATGAGAGTCTGCCAAAGTACAAGTCAACATTGGCAATGGAAGACGTTTTAGGATGTAGCCCTTTTTTTTTTTTTTTTGGACTTAGCATTTCAAAGCAGAGGCCAAAAATGGGGATGGGTGAGAAAGAAGGCACATTGACTATCAACACATTAAATATCATTTTGGTCCTCATTTCCTACAGACAACTAGGTTTCTCCCAAATTCATATGTCTGGAAATGGCATGAGCCAGACGGCTCATAAAAACAACAACATCAACGACAACACAAAACCCATAAAAACTTGTGAAGCTTTTCTCTTGAAAGAGCCACTGCTGGGCACCAGGAATGGCTCCCCCAAGAATATACCTCAGATCCATTAGTCTGTCCCCTCTTCTTTTCTGGGCAGAGTTTTGGGCTAAATGACTCCAAGCATTAAGCCTTTAGCTAAAATATTAAGGTATTTATCTAGGACAGAAGCCCAGAATGGCCTGAACTTTTCATGAAGCAGAATTAGCAAGAGGTAGAGTTTCTGTTCTCAGGCAGCGAGATGTCATGTGGGCTGTCTTGTGTGAGTTAACTGGCAAGTGTGAGGTGTATAAAGTATGCAGGTTGCCCTAACAGTGGATAGAGCATTGGCCTGCGGACCAAAGGGTCCCGGGTTTGATTCTGGTCAAAGGCACATATCTTGGTTGCAGGCTCCTCCCGGGCCCTAGAGTGCATGCAGGAGGCAACCAATCATTGTGTTTCTTTCACATCGATGTTTCTCTCTGTCTTTCCCTCTTCCACTCTCCCTAAAAAAGATCAATGGAAACCCTAGCCCAGTTGTTAGCAAACTGTGGCTCGCAAGCCACATGCAGCTCTGTTGACTAATGAGTTTGCCGGCCACTGCCCTAGCCAGTTTGGCTCAGTGGATAGAACATTGACCTGCTGACTGAAGGGTCCCTGGTTTGATTTTGGTCAAGGGCACATGCCTGGGGCTCGATTCCCAGTGGGGTGTGTG